AGTGTTTTGATGATCATGTGATCTCCATCCTGGATGATCTCTTTGTCAGGTTTGAGCAGGCTAGCTATTTTCCTCACAGCAACATTTACATCTTTAAAAGAAATCAAAAAGAAAAAGGATTTTGTAAAGCTGTATATACAAGATCTGCAGTAGCTTTGAAAACTGGAGTTGCAACTTAAAACCCAAACATCCTGATATTCAGCACCAATGACCAAGGTGAAATCATTCTTACCAATGCATAAAAAGCAAAGTTTGGTGTAGTGGTTAAGTGTGCGGACTCTGATCTGGGAGAACCGGGTTTGATTCCCCACTCCTCCACTTGCACCTGCTGATGTGACCTTGGATCAGTCACAAGCTCTGGCACAGCTGTCCTTGAAAAAGAGCAGTTTCTGCCAGAGCTCTCTCAGCCCCACCCACCGCACAGGGTGTCTGTTGTGGGGAGGGGAAGGGAAAGGAGTTTGTAAGCCGCTCTGAGACTCCAAGTGAAGGGCGGGGTATAAATCCAATCTCTTCTTCTTCTTCTTTATTTATGTACTTCATTTATACACCCACATTTCTCTCAAACAGGGACCCAACAACACAGCTTACATCATTCTTCTCTCCTCCATTTTATCTTCACAACAACCTCCGTGTGTCAGAGAGTGTGTGACTGGCCCAAGGCCACCCAACAAACTTCCATGATGGAGTAAAGATTTGAACCTGGCTCCTCAGATCATAGTCCAACACTCTAACTGCTACACCAAACTGGTTCACATTTCATACTATGGATGTATATGACTGCAGTTTTTCCATCCATTTAATAAATCATTCCCTGTTATCTTTATTCTGGTCCTTCCTCCTATGAAATTTAGATTGCAGGCTTTGAGGATTTTTCTAACTCTGTAAATTACCATATATATTAATGGTGCTGTAGCAGTAATTCTATGTGCTTGATGTATAAATACTAATTAATATACTAAATATAGGTTAAAGGTAATGGTTTCCCTTGCTCGAAAGCCAATCGAATCCGGCTCTAGGGATGCGGTGCTCATCTCTGTTTCCAAGCCAAAATGCCAGTGCTGTCCAAAGATGTTTCCATGGTCTTGTGTTCAGAACCTAAAAAGGTTAGTAAGGAATAGAAAAGGGCCAACTCTAAAAATCTAATCATAAAATATACAAATATATACATGTGTGTTTATTCAACATAAATTAAAATAACAAACAAGGGCCCATTCATACCTCATATAAAACAATAAAAACATACAAGGGCTAATAAGATAGACCTAATAAGATAGACCTAACGCGTTTCGGCCTTTACAGGTTTTCCTCAGAGGTCTAATACATACAATTCTACATATACAAAATATGGAATAAAGACCAGAAATCAATTGTTCCAAAGTTTAACCACTGGGCAAGGAAAAGAAGTACAGAAATACAAACGAAGCCTCCAGTGAAATCACATGTCCAGTGGTACTTCTCTCTGGTCAACTGTATATTCATCTAAGGTTGTACAGCCAAATGTTCCAAATAAAATGTTCCTTTAGACGCGTTAGGTCTATCTTATTAGGTCTATCTTATTAGCCTTTGTATGTTTTTATAGTTTTATATGAGGTATGAATGGGCCCTTGTTTGTTATTTTAATTTATGTTGAATAAACACACATATATATTTTTGTATATTTTATTATTAGATTTTTAGAGTTGGCCCTTTTCTATTCCTGACTACCCTTTTTAGGTTCTGAATTCTAGGTTTAGGTTCAGGTTTTTTCCCATTTTTTCTTCTTTGTCCTCCATGGTCTTGTGACCGGCATGACAAGACGCTGAGACATCTGGGGCATCTGAGAGCTGTTAGTCTTCCAATACTATCCCGTACTCTGAGGATTCTGCAAATTCTATCACTAAATACTAAATAAATACTAATGACACTGACATCTTTTATGTACAATACATCTGGATGGTCATAATTTCTTCCAACCTAATATGCATTCACTTGATTGACCAGTCACTTTCTTTTAAAAAGCTAGACTGTACACATGGCATTGTTAATAATTTGTTGCTATTTTTTTTTTCTAGACATAGGCACATAAACTGCAGTTTGATAGTACAGAATGAACAGATTTATTCATAAAGCTAAAACAGCTAATAAAAAAAATAAACTTACCCAATGCTTTCATGTATTCCTCAAAATTGTCATTGCTGAGCATTTTCCAGTAACCATTGAAATCTGCAGGCATTGCGAGTGTTTGTTTCCAAGTCTAGTGTGTTAATTCTGCACCATAAAGCTCAGTGCCTTTTGCTTAGGAGAGCTTGAACTCTGGTTTCTTTTATCTGTTCTTCCAACCATGCAGTTATGCTAGTCCCCCTAAGCCGATTATTGTTGAAGTGTTACCTTTAAATCCTCCCACAAAGCTGAACCTTTTAGTTTGCTAATGACAGCAGGACGGCTTGATTTAAATGGAATAGGTCTTTTACCTTCCATTCAATCACTATAAGGCCGCTGATTAGCTGCGTATCTGTATTACTTCTCCCATTCCTTATTACTTGGAAATAAGATGGTGTCTTCTGATATGCGGATTCCAAACACTGTTGTCAGTAGACATACTATGTGATATGGAATGGTGATCATGGCAAACACTGTCTTCTGGTGCACCTGAGAGCTGTTAGTCTTCCAATACTATCCCGTACTCTGAGGATTCTGCAAGTTCTATCACTGAAAAGACATTGCATGTTCTCTTCTGAACAGCTAAATTTCTCCCATAAGAAATGCTTATACAGTGAGCCTGGAGCGATGGGTGTTGGCAAGAGATGTTAGCAACTGGGGAAGAGATGGCTGAGAAAGAGCCAGTCATTACTCATCCAACCTTGCATTATTGGCATAACACCCAATTCCAGTTATCTCACAAACTCTTCATTGTTACTAATCAGAACACACTTTCAACTAAGAGAATGTGAAGCCCTTTCAGACTGAGAAATAAGCTGTACTTCACAGAAGCCCATTAACTTCGGAGCAGGCAAGCGCGTGAAAAAACTGTGCTGTGCTGCATTATTCAACAACAATACACGGTTACTTGAAAGGAATCACTTGAGACTGTAAAAATCTTCCCATCATTTAAGGAATACAGCAGGGAAATTTCAAACAAACATGCTGCAGAAGCAAGAGCTGCAGCATGTATTCAAAGTTAAATTAGTAGAGTGGGATTGTCCAAGGCATTAACTGTTGTGCTTCTGAATAAAGGTTGCCTTCTCCTCCAGGGTCAAGGCAGCATGCTGTTTTCTTAATCAAGATTCTTCAGAAAGTTGTGTTTCTGAATTGTGTTTTGGAATTGTGACCACCAATTCAACATTATTAATTGACTTACTGTTATTATGTTCCAATAGACTGATATCTATTGGTAACTTCTGAAATCTGTGAATTATTTGATGGTCTGCCCTTGCATTTTTTTATCTTTGTATAGTCCCCAGGTGGAGGCAAGGGTCCCCTGATTTTGTGGGCTCTTGCCCACCAGCCGCCATCTGGCCAGTGGGGGGAAGCCCCACCCCGAAGCCCCATCCCCAAGAGTAACCAGCAGCAGCACCACCACCGTCACCTTTCTCACTCCTGCAAGATTTAAAGAGCCCTCCAGCTGATCTGCAGGAGTATGTGGCCTGTCAGTCAGCTGGAGCGCCCTTGGAGGAGGGAGGGAGGGGGGTGGCCACATGCCTGAACACCCTTTGAATGCTGTTTGCAAGAAGTGTGGGCTATGCCTGCCTGAACTCCAAGCAGTGAATTTGCCACTGGTGTTCAGGCATGCATGGTCCCCCCACTTCTTGCAAATAGCATTCAAAGGGTCCCTTTAAATGCTGTTTCCAAGTTTGTGGGAGGTGCATGCCTGAACTCCAGCGGCAAATTCACTGCTTGGAGTTCAGGCAGGCATGGCCCACACTTCTTGCAAACAGCATTCAAAGGGTCCCTTTAAGTGCTGTTTGCAAGAAGCGGGGGGGGGGGGCGTCGGAACCCCCGAAGAAAGTTTGCCTCTTGGAGTTCTGGAGTGATGGGCACTAGTCCCCAATGTGATGACATCACTTCTGTGTGACATCATCATGTTGGGGATGAATGAATGAATGAATGATGTTTATTTACCATCAAATACCATTTGTCAAAATAATACATATTCGTTAAATACAAACAGATTAGCTTTCAGTCCAAATATATATATTTAAACATATAACCTTAAAACCATTAAAATGTTAAAAAATAAAAAGTTTAAGTCCATTATATCAGAATAACTATGAAAATGTCTAAAATTAAACTAATTAGAAGTCATGCAAAAGGTGATTGATGGTTTTTATTGTGGAATTTAACCAGCTGCAAGCAGAATTCAGCTATTTGTCTGGAGTTTTGCTGATTTTCCTCTGTCAGAAGTCTCTCTAGATCAGCACTATCTGCATCAGGTGCTGGCCTATCTAAGAGGGGGTAGATAAGCTTATTCCTATAAACTTGATGAAAGGGGCAGTGGAAGAACATATGGGGCATTGATTCCACTTCTCCCAAGGAACATGGGCAGCACCTGTCTTCATATGGTATCTTTCTATATTTTCCCTCTAGGACCTTAGAAGGAATAGCCAAACAGCGAGCCAGGGTAAAGGCTCTTCTATAGGGTGGCACATCCAGATAAGTCAGATATTTAGCCATTTTCACTATGTATCTGGAGTCATTTTGGACCAGAAAGGAGGGAGCTCAGTTTAAATCCTCTTGGCACTCTAGATCACAAATCCTTTGTTTAATTATACTTATCACCTGTGTGCTGTTTTGTGCCAATAAATCCTCAGACGAGAGAGTTAATCTTTGTCATTCGAATCCACCTTGGCTGATAGGAATCTTTGTTTATTAAGGGGAAAAGTCCCTTTTGATTGGAGTTAACCCTGAGCCATTGATATGTAGACGATAATAGTACTCTGGCTTCTATTCTCATTAGGCCAGTTTTTAGGCGTAAGAGAGCATTCGGCACCCCCGGGGGGGGGGGACCTGTAAAATCTTGCGAATAAATTTGGATTGAACCTTCTCAAGAGCACATAAATTAGTGGCAGAAATGCCCAAGTAGATACCGTAAAGGAGCTGCACTAATACTTTAGCTTGAAACAACTTCAATGCTGCCCGAACATACAGACCTCCCTTAGATCGATAGAATCTCAAGGTAGCATGTACTGTTTTCTCAGCTTTTTTCACCCTCCTATTACAGTGTGCTGAGTTAGCTCCCGAGTCCTGAATGGCCACGCCCAAGTAAACAAATTTATTTACTTGCTCAATTTTGTTTCCTTTCATTGTCCACAGATATTTCTTGGGTTGTCTACCAAATACCATCACTTTTGTTTTATCAGAGTTTATTATCAGATGTTCTTTCTCACAGTATGTTGCAAAGCAATCTAGTGCCCTTCATAATCCTAGCGGTGTTCCAGATGACAGGGCCGCGTCATCTGCATATAACAGAATTGATAGATAACGTGAAGCAAGCTTTGGCAGATGGAAATTAAGGTCTGTCATGTGTTTCACCATGTCACTAATATAGTAGTTGAATAGTATAGGGGCCAGAAGGCAACCCTGTCTAACTCCCTTAAACATCCTTATTGGGTTAGTAAGTGAGCCCTGCGAATTATATCTCACTCTGAGGTATGTCCC